AATATCTTAATGTTGCTATGTTCAAGTCAGATACCAGATTTTCTGGATATAGTCATGAACGAATTTCTTTTTAAAGCATACAAAGCCAAAATGTAGATCTTTCGCGTTCAACAAGGAAGTTCTATGCCAAACCGTTTTTCTATTTGATCAATTTTTCCGTAAGCTACTCTTTTCTTTTTACAGAACTTTATTTATATTGTGTGCAGTCAGAACCATAGACGAAGTCTGATGAAAGACATTTAGATGAAAAAGAACAAGCAAATGTGGGTCAAATGAGTGGTCGAATAACAGAGAAAAATCCAAATAACGGAAAAAAGGAGAAATGTAATTGCACTAAAGGATGGTCGAACCGTTTCTGTTCTTGCTTTAAATTTGACAGCGGATGTAACGCATCATGTGGATGCGTTTCATCCTGTCAAAACATGCTTAATCATCTAAGATGATGAAATAATATATTCAGATATATTAGAAAATATTAGAAGAGCGTTTACTAAGACAAAGGGAAGAAACAGAGGAGAGAGAAGCCGAAGAGTTTGAACGAGAAGAGAGAGAGGAACGTAAAAGAGAAGAGCGAGAAAAGGAATCGAGAGAAGCTCGAGCTGCCTATGAAGCAGTTCAATATCAAATCAAATAAGAATATGAACGTCAACGGATATTTCAAAATGAACAAACTGAGAGAGAAAAGCGTGAAGCAAATGAGGCGTGGCAAGAATCATTGAAACAAACGGAGGAGTATGAAAATTCCCAAAGAGAACTTTTTCTTAAGCCAGTTAGAGAACGTTTTCAACCAACAACAGTGGAGTATGGAAATATTGATAAACATTCAATTATTAAAACAGGTAAAAATTTAAGAACTATTGCGGCTGTCATATTACGAATTTTAATAAAAGCTTTTTTAAAATAATAAAAATTTAAAAATTAAAACTAAAAATTAAAATTACAATTCCATATTTCGACCTATTAATACGGTCATTTTCAAGTTGTTCTTCGTACAACGAAGAGTAACTTGAAGCTCGAAATATCGAATTGTGATTTTAATTTTTAGTTTTAATTTTTAAATTTTTATTATTTTAAAAAAGCTTTTATTAAAATTCGTAATATGACTGACAGCCGCAATAGTTCTTAAATTTTTATTCTTAACTTTGCTCATAAACTCAAAAAACGTTATCAAAACAGGTAGAGGAAAAGATCAGTTATTGCTGGAAGGCTATCGGTATCGCCGGGATCATGTCGATTGGCGATGTGTTAAAGACTACTGTACCGGCAGAGTTTTATATAATGGTGTTCGATATGAGATGTTTCGTGGTCGTATGTGCGACGCCCCAAATCCGGAGGAAGTACAAAGAGCCATTTTTAATGAAGAAATTAGAGATAAAGCGCGATCGACGCACAATACTCCACGTCAAGTAATACAAGATGCTCGTCTTAAAATTAACATAGAAAGTTCGTCGATTTTACCATAATTTTTGCACTTCAAAGAACAGTTCAACGGCATAGATGTAATGCATTCATTCCAATAACAAAACCAAAAGTTTTTAATGAAATAGTCATTCCTCCTCAATTGCAAGTGACTATCGACGGTCAAAAGTTTTTGATATATGATAATGGTGATCCAGAACGTAGAATATTAACATTTGCTTCACCATCACAGCTAAAAAGGCTTGCAGAATCAGATGTTTGGTTTGCTGATGGGACATTTAAAGTGCGTATGACATAGTAAGATTGAGAAAACCAGACATAGTAGTAGAACGCCATCGTTTTAGGTAGCTCCTCAATTATTTACCCAGTTATATACAATACATGGTACAGTAAGAGGCAAAGTTTTGCCGTTAGTGTACGCCGTATTACCAAATAAAAGCAAGGAAACATATAGCGAAGTTTTTATCGGATTAGCTCACTGGTTCTTGGTTGTTTCTTCCATTTTAAACAAGCAGTATGGCGAAAAATGGTAGTAAATAACTTCTAATTTCACCTTTTGACCTCATTTTTTCGTTATCGTTTTGTCTTCCAGGAGCTCCATTTAAAAGATGAGTTTGTAAACACGGATGCAAGTCGGAGAAGTATAAAAAATTTAGTTGCGCTGTGTTATGTTCTGCCTGATAAAGTAGTAGAAGAATTTACGTGGATTAAAGCATCGGCTTCCGATAATTTAGATGGTAAGCGAAAATTGTTTGAAAGTAATACGTATTGCAAAGTATGCGAATACAGCAATATTTGTTTTCTGTAGGTTTAATAGGCGTGTTCCACGAGAAAACTATCTTAAAAATGGCTGAACAGATCAGGTTGCATTTGGTTCCTAGAGGTTTCTTGACACGCTCTTTCTTTTTGTCTCTAGAAAGTTTTCTCCAAAAGCCTTGAAAGTATGGTTTCTGGGAAACCGTGGTTTTCCATCTATAGGTGTCGGAAAAAATGAGTTTTGTAAAATATTGTGCGTTAGAAAAAGCTTTTCAATATGATATTCGGATTATTTTACGTTATTCGGAGCTATTGAAAAGCTTTTTCTAACGCACAATATTTTACAAAACTCATTTTTTCCGACACCTATAGATGGAAAACCACGGTTTCCCAGAAACCATACTTTCGAGGCTTTTGGAGAAAACTTTCTAGAGACAAAAAGAAAGAGCGTGTCAAGAAACCTCTAGGAACCAAATGACAACTTGATCTGTTCAGCTAATCTCAGGATAGACCATACCAACTTTCTCATAGAACACGCCTATTACAGAGGATAACTGAGAATCACTGAAAATCAGTGAAAATCAGTTGATTTTGGGTGATTTTCGACTTATTCTGGACTGATTTCAGTCTACTGTTTCCCCCTTGTAAAAACCCTTCTACATATCTGGCACGGTTTGGGGAGGAGGAGAAAGGGATCCAAGTTTCTCGCTATATAACCCTCCCTTCATATTAGAACGTCTTCTGATACGCCTCAGTACAAAACAGTTCCTGGGGGCGGGGAGCCTTCTGTTGTGTCTTACCTATTTTCAAAAAACTACAAAGGTTTCGAGGGTCTGGAGAGGGATTTTATGGGTTTCAAAAGTATAGTAATGATTTTGACTGCAGTCTTTGAAGATTTTCGACGCAAACCCCTGAAAATTGGGCATATTTTCATGTAAATATACTAATTAAAGTTCCGGTTTTTTGTGAAAGTAACTTAAGGGGTTTTCTACTACATCCGGAATCACATTTTCACCGCTCAGACTTAGAAATCTCGACTAAACTGAAAACTAGTCTGAGCCGATATTGACTATGAAAATGCTCGAATTAGAAAGGGGCTCAAATATCGGTGTGGGATATCCAGCATGGAGTCTGGATGATAACGAGTGCCGAGAAGAACGACTAGAGTTGACTCAGATAGATACACTCAAATAACTTGAAACTGAACAACTCGATTTGAAACAGGTAAGAGATATGTAGATAAAGTGTTCAAGCACCAAAAACCGAAGAAGGTCGAAAAGAAAATAGAAATCTTCAAAGACATGATACAAAGTACAAAGAAAGACTTTGGATTAGTTCCTCATTACGATAAATTATACAAAACGTGTTTAAAAAAGCGTTTCTTTGCGAAAAGTGTGTGACTTTCTAGTTTCATTCGTTTGCTCCATTCGTCCATATTACATACCGCTTAAAACATAAAGGGTGCAGAATTAAACTTCAAGTTTTTAAATCTTGAAATTAAACTTTAATCTCTTCAGTGCATATTGTCAAATGGAATGTATTATTTGATTTGACAATACGCACTCAAACGATTTTCCAAATTTATCACCATAATATCTGTCCGCATCATGCACAATTCAGTCAAACGTTTCGAAAACCGATAGATAATTTATTCTTTTTCTTTATTCTTATTTTTTTTGTTTAAGAAAAATTGTTCTTGTAATGTTTGATACTCACAGTCATAGCCATTGACAGAAAATAAATTGAAAAGAAAAGTATGAATATAGTTTTTCTTTTATAAAATTAAAACCATGAATACAAGAAATTTATAAGATTATTATAAAAATAAATATAGAAATAACAAGTGAACAAAAAACTGTAAAACCGACTTTTTTCAGCGGCTGCCGACCTGTTTTTAAGGGGGAGAAAAAAAACTCATATCGGTCAAGTAGAAATTGAGTAAAAGATAAAATAAGCTTCGAACTCAAAAGGTACAATAGCGTTGCAAATCGCTCATATACGTCCGAGATTCCAACAATTTTCGAACTTTTATGCGCGAAGTTTCGTCTGATCTGTTAAAATTTGCCATTTTGCTTCGAAATTTTGTGTGGTTATTCGTAGTGGTTTTCAAACCGTCATCAGTGTCTTAAGCCAGTACTTGAATACGACAATGGAAAAAAGAGAAAAACTGTGGTTCATTTGAGTTCTGTTTGGCGTCATTATTCGAGTTAACAATAGCATGCCTCAACGCCACAGCAGCCCAATATCCAACAAGGAAGCCACAATCCTCCCGTCCAGAAAGTCAAACAGCAATGACAACAGTGATTCACTTGTTTGTACTTGACAACGACAAGTTGTTGCTGTTGTTGTTGCTGCTGCTGCTGGACATTAACAACAATATTCTGTGGTGGTTGTGGCGGTGCTGGATTGTTGTAGTACATCGGCTGTGTGGTAGTTGCACCCGGATATTCTTGATTTGGTAGCCACGGTTGTTGTTGACCAGGAGTGAGACCAAGCACCACCGGTTGTTGATTGTAGGGCGGCGGGGCTGCAACTGCTGTCGGCTGTTGAGTATTTTCGTCCATTTAGAAAAACAAGTCTAAAAATCAAATTTTTACATTCAGACTGGCTAAGATCGACAATGCTAGTTGAAAATCTTAATGTTAGAAAAAGAGCCAGTGATAACATTTAATTTCCGACTCAACGGCTTAAAGTTGTCGTTAAACAATAACGTTCACAAAACTAGAACTAGCACAAGATCAGAATGATTCATTTAGTTGAGTGAATGAACAGTTTATTGGAAAGACGTGCTGCTAATGGATCACTCCTAGTGCATACAGAAGTTTGCGAAGGCCACTGGACTGTTTACTCAATCTACTGGACTCGGACTAGACTGAATTCGACTTGAGTCCATACGGAGCTCTAGTAAACAATGTTAAACGTTTGTCCTACGAAAATGATCAATCATTTTCTTCGAACACGTAGCTGCACTAACTTTAATATTTAAGAGGTAAGCATTTCGTTCAATCCAGATAAAGAAGTACGTACTTTTACTCTCAATATAATTTGTTAACAGAAGACTTGACGAAACAGAACATGGTAAATAACTACAAGTACAACAGATTAGACAGTTAACGTCGACGCGATCCAAGAAAGAGGAATTTTAAGTTATGATCTAGCCTCTAATTCATCCTTCTTTTCCTCTTTTCTGTTCTCTTTTCAAATCGGATTTTCTCCTCTTCCTCTTTTTTCTATGAATTTTAGAGAAAAGCAACAAAATATAAAATAATTAATAGGAATCACCTTGGTAGAACACATTAGAAGAACAAACTTTTTGCGCTAAAAACAAGTAGTTAGTTTGGCGTCAACAACACTCATTGCTCGACTCTTGCTTCGATCTGACAAAAGAATTGCTGTTAGTCACCGAGAAGCAATGCCTCGCTGTAAATCAGAACACTTATGAGGTGTGTTTTCTACAAATTCGAGTGTTATCTTACTAAAAGTGATGCAAAGGAAATGAAATCGTTAAGGAAACTGCATAAAGACTGACACAAAAAAAGATCGACTATCTTTACGCCTATATACTTTTCGTTTCAGATGTTGTTAAAAAACAACTAGATTTCAGTACTCATTTGTTTACCATACCGATAAAATTAATCGAGATCGAGCTGAAATCTACACTGCGGATGTATTAAAGATTTTTTCTTCAAACCACTCGTCTATCTCAGATGTTTTATCACTCCATAAAAAAAATGATAAAGATCCATGTTAAAAGGCATGTTTATTAATTTTTCTTAAAGATGCTCATCTAATGGAGTCTTTTTTTCAAACTTTGCTGGACGGTTGAAGACATTACCTCAGGTTGATCGTATCTAATTTGTGTCAAGTTAATACATAATATCAGTACAAGAGTGGTATCATAATGCGGTTACAGTTTGTATCGTCTTTTTGCGTCGTTTTCGAACTTGGAAGAATTTTGACAAATTTGCGCATAATTTTCGATCTATTTCTTTGCACTTATAGAATTCTAGGCAATCTTCGGTGATTCTTCCAGATTTATGAGAATTTGTTGGGCTACATATTGTAAGGAGTATGATACTATGGTATATGATTAAATATGAGAATTATGGAAATTATGCGAATCATGGGAATTATGTTAATTATTGGAATTATGGGAGTTTTGAGAACTATGTATGCAAGCATTATGTATTACGTATTATGTTACTATTTCGATAAGTGGATCCCAATACGAGCTGTATTCGCTTTATGACATCTCTGCAATGCAGTATTCGTACTTTTAATAATTCAAAAATGTTTTCGTGCACAGTATGTACATATATATATATATATACGTTGGAAGCGTTGTAGATAATAAAACATGCATAATATTCGCTGTCGTCTTTGTTATTGACGTTTATATCCACAATATCAACAACTGCCATTTACAGAAAAAGAGAAAAAGTTAGTTTATATAACATTTTGAGTTTATTTTATTAAAAGTGAAAAAAAAATGATATATTCTTTTTCTTTTTTTCTTCTTATAAAATTCGGTTAATAGAGCCTTAGCGTACAGCGTATCTTCTTTATCTTACATTGTTGCTCACATTCAGACTTCTGCTACAGTATCACAGAATACGGGAATCAAAGGTAATATAATCATTAAAATAATTGAGTATAAAATGATTGTAAAAATGTCATTTTCAAAAGTCATCGGATAGTTAGCAAAAAAACGAGTCTGATCAGATGTTAGACATTTTAATTTCAAATATAAATTGTTTCATTCTACGCTAGTACATCGATTTGTAATACGATAATATATTTTTTGCCATGGAAAATGGAAATGTATGAAAAATTTTCAGATTACATTTCTTGCGTTTTTTACTGTTTGTTGTGTAAAAAGTTGAGACTATTTAATAAATGTTTTATTTCTCCCTTTTACTCCGTAGGTTTCTAATTGGTCCCAGATAATAGTTTTTTCTGAGTTAAAGCACATTTAAAAGCGTTTGTTTGCTCACATGACACGTTCGGACGCGTTTTTTAAGGAAACTAACGCATTTTGAAGCGTTAACAAGTCGGAAATGAGTTAAAACGCGGCAATTACCAACGCGTTTTGATGCATTAGCCTAATAAAAGAATATTTAAAAGCTGCTTATATTAACGCTTTTTGCTGCGTTAAAAATTGTAAGTTCCAAGTAAAGCGAGCTCATTAAGTAGAGAAACGCGTTCCAATCCTTTATTGCATCAAACATATCACTAAATCTACTTCTTTGTACTTCGAAGTCACACACGATACAACATTCGTCTTTCCCCCTCACCCTCACCCGTCCTCACACAATTCAACTTTGTGGAAGCACTTTCAGTCAGATTCTAATTTTTTTGAAAATCAGTCAGTGTTGAATCTTTTTTCTCTAAAGCGTGAAATAAAGGACATCAGTCATTTAGTTTTTAGTTTTCTTTTGGTTTTTATGTATTTTTCATTATAAATGACAATCTTGTTTAAGCTACCAAGAATTAAATGACTTACCCTAGAGGTGAATTCTTATACAGGATACTGACACGTGTTTTGTCAGATTCCTTTAAAGTTCTTATTGTAAACAGATAAAGCTCTTATCAGAATCTTACAAAAGTCTCATATAAGAAAGACAATGTTTTGGAAAAAAGAAAGAATGACTGTTGTGTAACATACACGCACTTCGTCTTTGCGTAATGTTGAAACCGAAAAGTATTTAGATAAGAGAACAGAAAGCTGAAATTGCTGTGCTGTTCCTCTGAGTTTATCACTTGACTCTATCCATACTAACTGTTCCTTTTCAGATAAAGATTATGAGAAGACAAAAGCATTGTCTCCTCGACGAATGCATTAAAACTTGACTGCACTATGTTGAAAAGTCCGAGTAAAATATAGTGGAATCTAGTAGCGTAGCCAGGATTCAGTTAGTGGGTAGGCGCTGCCCCAAATTTTTTCAAAGTCGTAGAAATATAAGAAATTTTCGCAGAGTAGTATGAATTGCAAAGCTTTTAGTGGGTGGGCAAAACCAATTAGCGCGTGGGCTGAGCCCAGTCGGTGGCTACGCCACTAGTGGAATCAGTCGTAGATAACAAAATGATGACTGGAAATAATGTGGTACTAGTACGTATCGATGCCGGTCAGTACAGCATACTATGCCGAGCTTTTTTCAGCACTGTTCCAAGACGATATGAATCCTGTACACTTTCGACAAGAAACTGGCAGGATTCTGATAAGAGTGACACACGACATTTTGAAATAATCTTATTAGACTTTTATCAGTTATTTATCTGAAACTTATACAACGTTTATAAGAGTCTTACGAAAAAAATGGCCGTCTCGTGTGCCTTTCTTATATAAGGCTTTTGTGAGATTCTGATAAGAGTCTTATCTGTTTACAACAAGAACTTTAAGGAAATCTGACAAAACATTTGCCAGTTTATAAGAGTTACCTCTAGGGTAAATCATTTAATTTCTTGCTAGCATAAACAAAGATTGTGATTTATAATGATAAAAATGATTTTGACGTTACACTGAGAAATGGTGTTACATATAAATATATTTTTCTGCCAAATACGGCGTTGATTGTGTTGTGTGCATAAGATTCAGATCAGCATACTTATGAAATGTCTTGATTTTTCAGTAAACACTGGGACCAATCTGAATACTGCCTGCCAGGCTCGTACCGATCACTTTGCTTGATTTTCGTCTTGCATCTGTAATGCTTCTGCTGGCGAAGCGCTCTAAATGTATTTCTCAAGCTAATATTTATATTTTTATGCTTTCTCGGTACTGGGTAGACATATAAATTACAAATCCAAGCATGCCTAAAAATTCTAAGTTCAGCTCGGCCCCACCAGACCAAAATACTTTGCGGCCCAAACCTGGCACGACCACTCTATAAAATTTTCTGTCCCATCCCGGCCCGTATTGATCTCGGGTCTATAACGCTTTTTCACCGAAATGTTTTGGTAATTTTCACACCCTATCTAGTCATTCGTAAATCGACTGCAGTTGGGTGAAAAAGCGTTTTAGACAGCCGGGAGATGCCCTGTTTTCCACAGAATCCTTTGCTCTATCAGGCTGTCTGGTTTGCAAAAGTTTCTGACCAAAAGCCAAGGACTTGGTTTTCTAGCGGTCAGGTTTTCCAGAAACCCCTTTATTTTCGCTATAACCTTTAAAGCGAAGATTCGACAATGTCCATCCTTCCAGGTTTTCTTATTAATAATATGCCTAACAAGATCTTGTTAGGCCTTCAAGGCCTATTCAAAAATTAAATCTCAGAAAGTTACGGGCTAACCTCGAAACTACCAGAAATTGACTCTTAATGACTGAGGATTATAAGAATCTATCAAGTACCTTGAGTAGCTCAGCGTTTTATTCAGTTATGATGTGAGACAAAGCATTTATACTAACAAAATCTTGATCTCTGTTGCACTTTGGGGAAACAATTCTTGGAGAACCCTGCTGTCTGACTTTGAAAAATTAAATAGAAATGTATTAATTAAATTTACTTTTTGTAACTTCATGTATCAGTTCCGTTCATGCCAGTAGATTCTGCATCAAAAACTGAGTATAATCTATGTCTTTCTTACAGGTTTTTTTGTTTTTATGTTATCAGAGCTAATGAGGCGGAGGTTCGTCAAAATTATAAAGATGGTGGCCTTCTTCGATTTATCACTCTTTTCATCTTTTATATTGATTTTCAAACTGATCCGTAAGTGTAGACATATGCATCCATTTATGCTCTATTCGAGTATCGCATTGAAAAATTTTCTTTATAGTGGGAAACGAGATAAAAATGCTTCAATTTTAACGTGGCCAAAATTATAATGGTATTTTTGGCTTTTCTTATGTTGAAGTCGGAAAAATTTTTTGTAGCGTTTGGAAACGGAACAGAAAAAAAGTTTTCGATATCTTCAAAACCTAACGGTTGCTCAAAATTTTAGACCCTTCTAGTATTTGAAGATTTTATTTCAAGAACCAGTCATTCTAAGATGTAACTTACGTATTTTAAATCAGTTCCAGAGCTGTATCGAATTGTATACATAGCCGACAGGAAGATGGTATGGAAATTTTGAATTTGTGTACCTTATTAGATTTGCAAATGTCGATGTATGTTTTAGAGCTTTGGGATGTTAAAAAGTTGTGAATTTAAAGGTTTAATTTTACTGAAACACCGTAATGATCGGAAATCGGCTGTTGAGATTCAAATCCCCTTAATTCTTCGATGTTGCATTGACTAATTGATTTTACATATTTTCGTGAAATAAGAATATGATCTAAACAAGCGTTGTTTAACGGAAATGTAATTGGATGTTGTTTTGTATTATCAAAAATATGATCAAAATCTGGAAGTGTATTCATCATGTTAACATATGATTCTTCTCCAAGAATACTATCAATATTCCAATCACCACATAGAATAACAGGATCATTTTCTTGTTCTTCTTTTGTTAACCAACTCTTCAGATTTTCTTTCAGTTCTTCGATTTGTAATTGTCTTATCGATGATTGATGTGCATCTAAATGTGTTGTAATAACATGTAGCCTCTTATCATTTGGAAGTTGAATTTTGGCATGCAAAACTCCTTTATTATTAATCCATTCACTTAGACTACAGTTTTGAAATCTTTTAAAATGACTTTCAACAATTGGATATCTACTTAGAATTAAAAGACCAGAATCTTGACAAAACAATGATGGCTTCGGTGTATCGATATAATGAAAATTCATTTTTTTGGCATGATCCAATATAATTTGTTTATTTAATGCTGAATTAACAAACCACCCTCCATCCCCAAATAAAAATACTTCTTGTAATGCTAGAATATCAAATTTATTTATATGGAATAAAAAGTCTTGAATACGTTCGGCTTTTCGTTTCGGTGGTCGACCTGTATTTGTCAGCCATAAATTTTGTGTTAAAAATTGAATTGATTGTACTTGTGTAATTGCTGCCGACATTATATACACATAGTTAATTATAAATAAAGATATTGTAACATTTTATACGCTTGAGTGTGTGTTTGAGTTATAAATATATAGGTAACGAAATATGAGCATTCACTATAAGCCTGTTATCATTCTTAAATAGAAAATTACGCAACTTGTTGAAAGTCAAAAAAATAAAGGAAAGAAGAAAAGATGCTTCTTCTGACTCATACTAACACGCTTGTTCACACTTTGTTTTTAACTAAAATATATCGGCTTGATCAGTTAGCTGTGCTTTCAGAGTATAATTCCGTCACGATTTTTTTGCACGACATTTTTTTTGCCTTCATGAAATTACTGAAACTGCTTAAGATTGCTCACTGAAGCAAAATTTCATTTCAAAAAGGTTTTATCTTCTTTTCCACCTATAGCTTTTTATAAGATAACAGGTAAAATGTCAAGTATATAATATAATATAATCTTGTGTTTCATTCAACTTATCTGTGCACAACTCTTTCTTTTTCTTTCTACTCTCTACAAAATATAGGCATTTTAGAAAACCTAAAAAGGGTTCGGGAAACTGCAAATATACGGAACCCTTTAAAAGGTTTAGTAAGGGGTTTTTCACCTTTACTAAACGTATACGAACTCGACTTCCTGTTGCCTACTAAAGTTTCGTAAGTTTGACATGGTTCAAGAATGAAATTCAACGAAAAGTTGATGATGGATGCCGAGTGTTTTTTAGTCTTTTTTGCAAATTGCAAAATATGTGAATCACAGACTTTTGAGTAGCGACTCAAATGTGTCGACTGTTATTATACTCATCGCATCATGAAAGAGTAGTAGTTTTTCTAAATTATATTCTTTATCGAATAAATTGAGACTTGCAAGGTGAATGGAACAATACAATGGAATCGTATAATCAATGAAAATTATACTGTTGATTAGCTTGCTTTTAAAATACGAGCATACGTTCAGGTCAGACACGTCAAACCTCGACTGGCTTACGGGGTCATTTCGTTAGTACTGGGTTTTATTCGTTTGTTTTCCAAAACGCAAAAAACTTCGGTGAAATCAATAAAAGAAATTTAAGATTCGGTGTCCTCAGGAAGCAAAAAACAATTGAAAAGCAAATAAAGTATTAATGTCAGCTGCTCTTCTAAATCTCGAATACAACCCATTGCATAAAATCGATATGCTATCGCAACATTAATAAGAACTGATGAAATGTGGACTTTATGATTTCATTTACCTTCTGCTCTTCATATAACTCTAATACTGCTTGACGAAGTCAATCAATGGGCTCCGTCCTTTATAATATAATTTTTATTAGAAGTATCTCAATGTATGATAGATGTCAAAACAGGGCGCTACGCATAACCCAATATTGCATTCCCTGCACTCGTAGCTCGTTTTTGTTTCTTGCTTCGGATACGGGTCGTGTGGCTGCAGACAAAGCAACGTCTTCGACCGTCGATGGAGCTTTTCGCTGCTGACGGAAAGTGTCGTGCCGTCATGCGTGATTGTGATTTATTTTTTCGTTACTCTATTTTTAACTTCGTCTTTTTCTTTTTCCATTTAGTCTATTTTATTTCGTTCATCTATTGTTTTTACGTCTAGTTGTGATCACTATTATTCTAGGTCTATATAGTGCATCATCTTTTATCTCTGTCTACTTTCTACTTTTTTCTTTTATGCCACATGGTTTTGTTCTTTGGATACGTTGTAGGCAAAGTTAGAATTCAGGCAAAATTAGAATTCTAAGTTTGACTGGGCAAAATTGGAATTCTAAGTTTGACTAAGTTAGTCAAAATTGGAATTAAAATGAAAAAAATTAGAGATCACAACTGATAAAGTCATAAAATTAATTATATGTGCTAAAATCATGCTCTTAGTTTCTTCTGCTAGGTAATAAACCATACTCACCCACTGATGTATTAGATGTATTAGAAGGAGCTTGAATTAAAGAATAATCACAATCTCGAGAAAGAGTGATTAGCTGAAAAGCTAGAACATCTGTGTGTGACCATGAAAGAAACAATTATTTTAATTCAATTGTAACTCTTGCAACAAACGCCTTTCCATTATCACTATGAAGCAACCGTGTTGGACCAAAAGCAACTGTGAACTTTATAATTGAACTCCCTCTTCTCTGAATGTGAGAGAAGCTAAAGAGAAGACAGTTAATTTGAAGTTGAAAATTGAGTGAGTTATGAATTTTTTAATATTAGGTGAAAACAGCCTGAAAACCCTACTTTTCGTAAAACTCGCTTTCGGTAGCTTTTTAAAACTTTTTCTAAAACAAATATTACCACGAGACTCAGCATGATCGATTACCTATAGTCCATCCATTTTGAAGCCTACCAATAGTCACCGGGTGTCAGTCCTGGGACTCGTAGGAAATCCGATGTAAGGCTCGAACCGCGGAAAATCAAGATCTCGCTCGACTCCTATCTTGAAGAGAACACCCTGGGCTATCAGTTCGTGAAAAAGAATCAATGCAATCCGATTGGAAAACTGTTACATATGGCCTAGTTTTTCAACGACCTCCTAGAAAATCTGTTTTAAAAAACTCTTCTTAAAAAGTTTTGCTTATGTAAATATGTCCCCGAGTCTCCTCTTTCAAATGGTGAAAATCGGAGCTGTCTAGCTATTTTCTAGCAAAAGTTATTCCAGAAATGACCGAGTCCATTCTTTTTTTAATCGATAATAATTATGTTTTAGGACTCTTTTGCAAATAGTCGAAACAAGAATTCTTGACAACGCTTTCTTGTAGAAAATTTTTTTTTTGATTGAAAGCCTTTTTTTTGATTCAGCTCTAGGGCGTTACAGAGCCCTTTTTTCAAATTAGCCTTTCCTTTTTTTATTAAAAAAGGATCTCTGAAAAACTGCTAGCGTTTTCTTAAAAAAGCTATTTTTTGCCCGTAATTTTTGAATATCTTGGAAAATAGTCATGATATTGGTCCGAAAATTTTAGCATAGCATCCTATATCATGACCCAGATATCCTGAAAATGTCATGCAATTTCGTGGCATGGAAGCCGAGATTCGATTTTGAGAGGGGGATGGCCTTAAAGTAGAATATTATGATTATCTTAATCAAACATTTTTTATACATACATTTAGATTACATATATCATATTGACTACAGTATTAATTGTTTATTAAAATACTGAACGAGAATATTTGATAAACAAAGACGATTAAAAAGCTTTTCAAAACGATGAAGTATATTCTTGTGCAAGTTTTATCAGTCATATACTTCATTTCAATTAGGTCGTTAATCGTCTTTGTTTGTCAAATATTCTCATTCAGTATTTGAATAAACAATTAATACTGTAGTCAATATGATATATGTAACCTAAATGTATGTATAAAAAATGTTTGATTAAGATAATTATAATATTCTACTTTAAATATAATTTTCACTTAAAAAGTACCTTTTCTCTTTTCATAAAACAAAGCTGAAATATAATTTGTATGAATATTATGACCTGCATCACTGCTACCCAGAACCTCAAAATAACTGCAAGACAATAACAAGTCCTCACTTTCTGAAGGAAAATGTGAATGAATTTTAATCATTTATCCATTAATAAGGTGCCAGTAATTCGAAGTTGTAGCACTATTTTATTTTTGGCTTAACTGTCTTCTCTTTGTCGTCTCTCGCATTCAGAGAAGAGGGAGTTCAATTATAAAGTTCACAGTTGCTTTTGGTCCAACACGGTTGCTTCATAGTGATAATGGAAAGGCGTTTGTTGCAAGAGTTACAATTGAATTAAAATAATTGTTTCTTTCATGGTCACACACAGATGTTCTAGCTTTTCAGCTAATCACTCTTTCTCGAGATTGTGATTATTCTTTAATTCAAGCTCCTTCTAATACATCTAATACATCAGTGGGTGAGTATGGTTTATTACCTAGCAGAAGAAACTAAGAGCATGATTTTAGCACATATAATTAATTTTATGACTTTATAAAGTTGTGATCTCTGATTTTTCCATTTTAATTCCAATTTTGACTAACTTAGTCAAACTTAGAATTCTAATTTTGCCTACAACAGATATATATATATAGAATACGGAGTGTAAGTTGTCGGTTAGTGGTCTACTTACTTCTTGGTATTCCTGCATATGTATTTTTCATCATTATTTTTAAATATACTATATTGAATTGTCACTTAGTTTAAGTTAATTAACTGGGAGACTTTTCTTGTCCCACTTGACTAAAGAATCCGGGCTTAACGACTGGTAGCAGTCGAGAGGAAAAACTAGTGATCACATAGACAGAGCCCGTCAGGTACTGGTATAAAATGCAAGGGGAAAACAGCTGAATTTGATACGTTTTTGAATTTACTTGAATTTAACTGAAGTTGGCTGAATTTAACCGAATTTAGCTAAATTTAACTGAATTTAGCTTTAAATGAATTTAAATGATTTTAACAGAATTTACTCGAATTTAAGTGATTTTAACTGAATTTTGATTATGGTGATTCGGAAAATAAATGTTCGGATATAAACCGGATATAAATTAAATATTCGGAAAATAAAATAGTTTCAAAACTCTAGTGAAAACCTATATTGGGGGAAATAACCCATTTTTGCCTATTTTTGAGCAATATTAAAGAATTCATAACCCAGTGAAGATCCATCCAAATTATTCCAGAATACCAAGATATACTCTGTTTTACCTGTTTAATACTCTGCAGTTCAATAAAAGCTTTAAAAGTCAACAGAAAATACTTTGGTTTTTGAAAAGGTTTTCTAGAAATCTTACGAAGTACAAAAATGCTTTTTACTATTTTCAAGTAAAAAATCGTATTGAGCAGGTAAAATAGAGTACCCCCCTCACCCTCGCACAACTGGGATGGGTCTTGACTGGATTATGAATCTTTTACTATTACTCAAAAATAGGCAAAAATGGGTTATTTCACCTAATATTGGTTTTCACTAGGTTTTTGGAACTGTTTTGGAAAACAAATATTGCCACGATATTCAACAGGGTCGATTACCTATGTTTGCATTTATTTTCGGA